CTACAGAGGAGTCCCTTCCAGTCCCTGCTCACTGGTTTGTACTGGGACCGGTGGATTGCTGAACCCGTATTTGGATTGCTGTGGACAAATTAGGCTTTAGAAGACAGTTCAGTTCTTTCATTTGGATAAGTCATTACTTCCGGTCTTGGACACAGATGTGTGGTTTCCTTATAAGCTTTGGGGTGCAGGCGGGGCGCCGCTTTTCTTCAGATGGTTTTGTGTGCATTGCAGGTGAAGCCGCTGATCTGGATCGAGTCGGTGATCGAGAAGCACTCGCACAGCCGGATCGAGTACATGATCAAGGTACTGAGTCTGCCTCCTCCTTCTCCTGTCCCTCCACCCCAGGCGTCAGACTCACTTCCTGGAGGGCCTTGAGTTGTCTGGTTAAGCTTGCAACTCGAGCAGTCAATGAGACAATTTAAAAAATCATTTTTTTAGGCATGTGTAGGAATTTTCTTAATGTTTTCTGCTGTGTTTACTCAAAATATTCAATTCACTAGGTGTAGTTGCCTGTGAATCACTTGGGAGCCTAGTTAGATATATTATAATTCTGCAGTTAATTAAATAATTAGACAAATTATGGTTGTGAAATGTCCAAGAGCAGCTGTCTGTCTGTTGATGTATTTGGAGGAACTGACATATTTTTCAGCTCAGGTTTCAGATTCAAGTGTCCCTCAAATAGCTGAAACTTTCAAGCTTCAGTCTTGAAAGTTATGAAACATCTAAAGAAAGTAAACTGATTATATGTGATGAGTGACTTCCAGTCCTCAGGGAGATGTCCAGCACTTTTTGTGGGTCTTTTTAAATCGTCAGCAGCTTCAGACCTATGCAGGAGGGTTAGTGTGGTTCAATTAAGCCTTATGTTACGAGACAGAAAGATAAAAGCAGTCAGCGATTTATCTTTTGTATTTACAAATTTATTTACAATAAAAATAATATAATAACCATTACTTATAACAAGTAAAAAGAACAAACCAAAGTTCACTTATCTAAAAGTCCTGGTCCATAAATGCACTTCTGTCACTT